CGATATTGGGTACATGTATCAGATAAACGGGTCACTTCAAGTCACAGTGCCATGAATTTTCTTAGAAGGAAGGCTAAAAGCTGGCGATGGGGTCTGGATACTGCTAAGGTGCCCAGTAGGCTAGGGGGAGTATAGCAGTAAAAACTGATGGACGAAAATACTGATTTGTTTTTCTTTTAGAATGATGGGGATCGCCCCCCCCCCCTCCCCCTGTATCCATGCGTGTGCAATAGGAGCTTTACATTAAAGTTTTACAAATTCAAAACCTATTTCAAAGGTTGATTTTCTCAAACATTCTTGAAAATCGAACTTTTTTTTTTCTCCTAATACAAGACCAAGCTGACTTTTCATATTCTAACAATCAGATTCTACTGAAACATCTGTGCATGTTTCTAAATTTTAAATTACATTATCCAGATTACAAGTTGCTAAAGCCATGCAGATATATTTGCAATGTAAATTCGATTTGATAAAATTTAGTCGCAAACAAGGTTATTGAATCGACCACAGAATTTGAGATGTGTTGGCTTTAAACGAGATTCTTAATATTCTGGTAGCATTATTTCAGGAATCACTTTCAAAATCAGGCAATTTCAGTCTGATTATAGCCAGCCCCTACTATTTCACTTCATTAGTAGGCTACTAATGAAGTGAAATAGTAGGGGCTGGCTTTATAGTCAGACGTAAATTGCCTGATTTTGAGGTAGTGAATGATAATGATATAATCCACATTAATATTAAGACAAGAATTTAAGTCATTTTTTTCTTTTCAACTTTTTCTCGCTTCATATTGTGTTGACCATTGGAATTAGCGGAGCCGAAACCCGATCTTAGACAATTCTAAAAAATTAAAAATGCCAAAATTATTTAAAAATCAATGAAGCGAAATGACATTCAAATTTGATCTCTTCAAGTTACATTCACATACCAAAATTCTGTTCAATATCTACAAGCGTTTGGAAAAAAAGTGCGGAAAACCAAGTAGGACAGACTGACAGATAGACGGGGACAGCTAGACGGACGGACGGAAGGACAGAAGCAATGGAAACCTATAGACCCATATACTAATAACCTGCCTCTTGTTAGAAAAAATATCATACTTTTGTGTTTTGAAATCATAAATTAATCGAAGACACAAACTCCATAAGTGTGCAATGATAAAAGAAGGTGCTGCCCTAAAAATGCAATGCAACGAGGGTTCAAAAAAGAATTTCTTTCAAAAAGGGTATGGAGATAACGAAGTATTCAATATCAAAGTTCATAAAACAATACAAAGTAGGAACAGAGCAAACACGGACCTCCAAAACATCAAAGGTGGGATCAGGTGCCATGGAAGAGTGAGCGTCCCCTGCTGACCGTTCATACCCTCCGTGTGCTCATTGTCATGATCGTGAAATAATTGAAAAATCCGTCGTCAATTCAATGTATAAATAATGGACTAATGGACTTGGTATGAAAAACGTCAATCAGCATTCATTTGAATGATGACTTTAAACGAGACCGCTGATATTCTTGTTTCATCAACTTTCTTGTCAATGATTTACCTCGTTTTATAAATTGTTCGTACGTAGAACATGCTCTTGCGTATCGAATCAATTGAGATATATACACTTCGTATGCAGGTGATGAAGGTATATTGCTGCATAAGTAAGGGAAGTTGACGATAGAAAAGTTAAAGTCGTCACGTTTATCATTTAACTTGGTTGTTAGGATACCATTAACATATTTTCAAGTAATATATCCAAGTATGAAGCAGATGTGTCAGAGTCTGTGGTATCTTTTATCTCAATCTCACCTGGATATATCGTATCAACTTAGGAATGGAAATTACCATTGTTAATTGACAATACGTAGTCGATATATCTGAAGGTCGAGTTGAAGGCCAAAGCTAGTGTTTTCTCCTATTCATGCATTAGATTTTGCATAAATTTTGCTTCATAAGAATACAAAAACAGCTATTAACGAAGCGCAATTGGTTCCCATGGGAATTCCAATAGATTGTTGGAAGACTTGATCTCCAAAAACCACATAGATATTGTCAATCAGAAACTCAAGAATCTACTTGATGTCAACTTCAAGAAGCTTGTGTGTTTATTCAGAATCTTTTTTAAGAAAATAATTTTGCAAATGACAAATGACCAGGTAAGAAAATTTACGAGTTCCATTTTTATTGAAGAAGCAGCCTGTCAATGATATCAAAAAGCCTGGATTTTAATTTATCTTGAGGAATGGTTGTGTATAAAGCTGAAAAGTCTAAGTTTTTAAGCTGTTGATTTTGGTAAGATCCTGTGTTTTCAAATTGTCCAAAAGTTCTTTGGAATTTTGTAGTATCCACATCTGATTCACACCACTTCTTGAATGTATAGTTGCACTGCTAGTACTCTTGAAGTTTTTCATTCACTACTGTCAATATATTTTAGTGAGGAGAATTAGGAAGGAGGCTTGGTTGAACATTTACTGGAACACACAATGTATCATTGTTTGTAAGGATTTTTATGAAGTTTCAGAATCAAATATATGTAAGGTACATGTAGTTCAAATGCATTTTGGCTCTGTGGACTATCATTGAAAATATTCAAAACTGACTTTTGACTTCGAAGATTTTCAAGTTAAATTATAATTTTATTTTTAAATTTATATCTTTATTCTGTGATATTGACATTTCCAATGTCTTTATTCGAAATAAAACACTTTTTTGTGCGCAATAAATATACCATTTTTTCAATGGGTGGCACTGTAGCTCTCCGGTCTATCAATATATATTTTTTCGGAGAGCTACAGATCTGCAGCTAACGGTTTATAAGTCGCCGAAACAGGTAAGAAAATTAGCCGCCAAGATATATATTAATTTTTAAAAAATGCTGTTCATCAGATTAATTAAATCCTTTTAAATGCAATGCAGTTAGGAAAATATTTACTTTTAATATGACATTTTATTTCGTAAAGCTGAAGTAAGGTATAAATTTGTAATCTCCCAAGCTTCCGGTATTCCCAGCCTATTTAAAGTACGAGATCTCGCGAGATCTTCCTTCTTCCGCTCGGCTTCATAAGTTGTAGCTGCACTTTTTTCGGATTTATATTTTATCGAGTTTCATCTTTGCTGTACGTTTTACATACAGCAATTATTTCACCCATCAGGCTTTCTTTACGTGACCTGAGGGATGGAGAGTAGCTCAAAGCCTCTCCAGACGATAACAGTCCTGAAATAATGTCAGAGAAAAAATCGTCACGAGGCAATGATATCACGTCGCCATTACAGCCCAAGAAAAGATGGGGCATTTTTGTCATCCCTAGAAAGAGGGTGGATGAAGATGAAGGGGAAAACACAGACCCTTATGCCATGGCAGATTCAGATAGTGATTCTATGCAGTCTGATGATTTATCTGACGGAGAAATTTCGTCTCGGTCACCATCGGCGGGTGTGGGACCACGCACGGATGATGACGACGTCTGTGAACCTAAACGGTTTGACCCAGGAGATTTTGACTCTGAGTACAAACTAGATGCTAGCAAAGAAAAATATGTGAAAAAGTTTTTCACTACCCACCTTAGTGATGAACGTATTAACACCAGTGTGCTTGATATACATCCTGTGCCAGTTAATACTTTCCTTAATCCGCCGGAGGTTGATGCATACATTGAAGATCTTGTCAATGATAAAAAGGCATTCAAATTCCTGAAACTCCAGGATCAAGCTCTGAAACATGTTCAGAAGAAAGTATCCAGATGCTTGGGACCTCTGGCTGAGATCTGGGAAGAACTTGATGGGGCCCAAGAGGGCGACAAATCAGGCAAGTCTATTCAAGATGTTACTGAACTCGTTGAAAAAACCATTTTGATGATAGGACAGGTTAATACAGCCTGTCTCTATGAGAGACGTTTAACTTGGCTCGCCAAGTTATTTAAGAGCGTTCCAAATGCAATATCTATCATTAAATAGCACAATGATAATTTTGATAAAGAACTAAAACTGTTTGGATCAGATTTTTACAAAGTTTTAGATCGCAAGGCCAAAAACAGAAAAAGAGCAAGAGAAATGGCTAAAGAAATGAGGCCAGCTAAGAGACCACGGCCCTTTCCAGACGGACCCTCGGGCAGTAAGAATTCGTCAAAGCCTTGGGGGTCGACCACATGGAAGACGAATAAAGTCAATAGACCAGAACAGTCCAGGGGTGATAAGCCACAAAACAACCGCAAAAAGCCCTTCAAACCCAGGTATGTATTGCCAAGAAAACATAGATCTTTCAACTTGCTCAACTCAAGATCTCATTGTTTATCAAATCACAAAAGTAAAATCAGATCACTGCAATCTCCACTCACTGATTTGTCATCTGGGTCTTGTGGAAATAGATCAGACTCAGATACCGCTAGGGGGCAGAATTGCTCATTTCCTGACAAACTGGGAAAAAATTACTTCAGATCAACAAATATTGTCCACAGTTCGTGGAATAAAACTGGACTTCATAAACCAACCTATTCAAAAATTGCCCATTCCAAATCAAATGATTTTTTCCAAAGAGGAGAACCTGGCATTAGATCAGGAAGTCAAGGACATGATGACAAAACAGGCAATGGAGATTGCAGAACCAGAAAATGGTCAATTTCTGAGTACTTTGTTCATTCGCCCCAAAAAAGATGGAGGCTTAAGGCCAATTTTCAATTTGAAAAAGCTAAACGAGTCCGTAAGGTACGAACACTTCAAAATGGAAGGGTTTCAGGTTGTGAAAACAACTCTGAGGCAAGGAGACTACATGTGCAAGATAGATCTCGAGGACGCTTATTTCTGTGTCCCAATAGACCCAAGTCACAGGAAATACCTGAGATTCAGTTGGGGGGGGGGGGGGGAATGTTGCTACAATACAAAAGCCTTCCCTTTGGTCTGGCTTCAGGCCCTCGTCTATTCACAAAAATTCTGAAGCCATTAGTTGCTATTTTACGAAGAATGGGGATTCGAATTGTGGTCTACCTAGACGACATGTTGATAATGAATCAGACAAAAGAGGGAATAATAAAGGACAGTGACTCTTTGATTTGGATGTTACATCATCTGGGGTGGGTGATAAATTGGAAAAAGTCGGTAACAGATCCTGTCCAAGTAATAGAATTTCTGGGGTTCAAATTGGATTCGAACAACATGACAGTCTCCCTGCCTCAGACAAAAGTAAACAACCTGATCAAGAAATGTCAGAGCGTTTTACAGTCAAGCCAGATTACAATACAAGAACTGGCAAGTTTGGTTGGGTCCTTAAATGCCACAGTAGAGGCAGTAATACCTGCAGCCTTGTGCATGAGGGAACTCCAAATGCATCAAACAAAGTGTTTAATAAGATCTCAGAACTATCAGAATATTGTAGAGTTGCCCGGTCAATGCAAAACAGAAATTCAATGGTGGGTCCAGAGACTAAGGGACTGGAATGGGAAACAAATCTTAAATGTGAGCCCCCAGTTGACAATAGAGACAGATGCATCAAAAGAGGGGTGGGGGTTCCACTGCCCATCTCTCAAGATAAGAATGGGGGGTCCTTGGAACCTAGAGGAACAGAACTTGCACATAAATGCATTAGAAATGAAAGCGGCAGTAATAGCAATCAAATCCTTGACAAAAACCATGGAAAACATTCATGTACATCTAAAAATGGACAATGTGACAGCTGTCACTTACGTGAACAAAATGGGGGGCACCAAATCCCATATTCTCAATACAATTGCGAAAGAAATATGGGAATACTGCATGTTGAAAAAGATCATTCTTACAGCAGAATATCTCCCAGGTTGCCAGAACAGCATAGCCGACTGGGAGAGCAGGAATACTCGGGAAGTGAGCATAAACAGCTGGAGGCTGAATCCAACAATATTCAGTCAAATAAACAAAATACTGGGACCTATCCAGATAGATCTGTTTGCAGATCGTTGGAATGCTCATGTTCCCCAATATATCAGTTGGAAAAACGACCCTCTAGCTCTCTCAGCAGATGCTTTTCTAACAACTTGGGAAAAGGAGAAGAAAGCCTATGCTTTCCCCCCATTCTGCATGATCCCAAAATGTCTATCAAAACTCCAGAGGGAGGGGGGAGAACTAGTTATGATAACGCCTGCATGGCAGACCCAATCATTTTATCCACTTCTATTACAAATGACAATTGCAAAACCAATTTTACTGCCACCACAGAAAAATCTGTTAATGTCGCCAAGGGGGGAAAATCATCCAATGATCCTAAACGGTGCTCTAAAGTTAGTGGCTTGGAAAATTTCAGGAAATCCCAAGAAATGCTTGGAGTTTCAAAACAAACTTCAGAGTTACTCACGGCAGCTTGGAGACAGGGTACCCAGTCAGCTTACAACAGCTGCTGGGAACACTGGACTCGCTGGTGTGATCAACAACAAGCTGATCCCTTTTGTGCCCCTGTGGAATCTGTAGCAAATTTCCTGTCATCACTTTTCAATAAGGGTTATGAATACAGAACTATAAATAATTACAGGTCAGCTATCTCAGCATTTCACGTTGGGGTTAAACGTGAAAAAATAGGACAACAACCTTTAATAAAACAGGTCATGAAAGGAGCTTTCAATTCTAGACCCCCTCTACCTAGATATAATGAAACCTGGGATGTTAATAGGGTTCTTAAACATATTGAGACTTTGGGGGAAAATCAAAATTTAACGCTCAAAAAACTGACATTAAAAACTTTGACCCTAATGGCACTGACTTCTGCAAGTAGAGTTTCAGAACTTCAGAAACTTGATATTGGTTATATGGAAATTCAAAGTGATGAAATTATATTCACAATAGCACAGTTAACCAAAACAAGAAAAGTCAATAGCAAACCAGTAAAAGTGAATTTCCCAAAATTAGATAGGGGAAAACTTGATGTGTACAATTGTATCACAGAATACTTAAAGAAAACAGTTAAGAGGAGGGGAACAACAATTTTTCATTAGCTTTACTAAACCACATAAAGGAGTAAAACCATGCACTTTGGCAGGGTGGTTAAAAACTATGATTGGGAATGCAGGGATAGACACCAATGTGTTTAAGGCTCATTCAACCAGAGGTGCTTGTACCTCTAAGGCATTTAAATTTGGACTTTCTTTGGCCCAGGTCATGTCTAGGGCCAACTGGAAATCTGCTGGCACTTTCAACAGATTCTACAATAAGCCTGTTGGGGCTCATGATGAATTTGCAGACAAAATATTGACACTTGATGATTAATAAAACAAACAAACAAACAAACAAACAAGCAAACAAACAAAAAAAAAAAAGTAAGAAAAGAAAAAATTTTTTGCTTTGAACTTACATATTTTTACCTTACTTCAGCTTTACGAAATAAAATTAGAAATTTTATCAGTGCGCTTTAGCGCACGCAAGGAAATTAAGATTTTATTAGTAAAGCTGAAGTAAGGTACTCCCACCCAACCCTCCCATTGAACACTGATTAATTATTAGTCCTAAAATTATTGTCATCAGTGATATAAAATTTTTCTTTCCTTTTCTTTTCATTTTAGGAACCTGAAATAAAGATTTGGACAAACATGCAGACCAACTCTGAATGAAGTCTCCAGTGGTGATTTTAAAAGAGGACTTGAAATAGTCTCATTGGAGAGATTTTTATTAACTTTGTAAAATTTGCATGCATATCTGTACCATAACCTTTAATTCTAGCACAATTATGATATTGTTTTTCTTGGTTTAGAGAATGACTATACTTTTGAATTTCATGTATTTGAATTAAATTTGTAAATGCATTAATTTGTTCTTTATTTAAAAAAAAAAAAGTTGAGAATAATTATTGTGCTTTAATATTACACATGTGTGGTATTGTGCATGTCTTAGAAATATTATATGATGTGGAAAAAAAAAATTAGCAGCTACTACTTTCTCAGCCTCTCTGAAGAAGGAAGATCTCGCGAGATCTCGTACTTTAAATAGGCTGGGAATACCGGAAGCTTGGGAGATTACATATTTATACCTTACTTCAGCTTTACTCATAAAATCTTAATTTCCTTGCGTGCGCTAAAGTGCACTGATAAAATTTCTAATTATATCACATAAACTAATAGGCAAGCTTTCGTTTTAATTTCAGAGAAGTAACGCCCCTCGAGAAAACCGCTTTCTAAAAATAGTTCATGTAAGATATATTTAAAACCCAGAAATTTACGGTCTGGCAAGTATAACCGAGTGCCCGTGAGTCTGGGAGTATAATAAGTCGTCGAAGCAGGTAAGAAAATTATCATTAAAGCCCTTTTCAATGAAGAATTATAAAAAAAAATATGCTAGGAATAATTATTATATATACAAAAGTTAAACTAATTTGAAATCGATTACATGCAAAAGGATTTTTTTCAATGAATGATCAATGGTTTTTTTTCTTTAGTATTTATCAGTATTAAGAATTAAAATTTAATGTTTAAAGTGTAGACTTTGTATATCAAACATGGTCAAATCATGTATATTGAACAACAGCAATTTACTTAATTTTTTCAATAATTTTTTCAGAAAATTCGAATCACTGAGATGGGGTGCTGTAAAGTTTTAAAGATCATCTTCTTGTTAGCGTTAGAAATGGCGGATCTCGTTTTAGACTGGGACTTTTACTATGAAGTAAGAAAAACCGAGGATATCGGTCAAGAATTAGAATACAGCATCCTGGGATTTGCCATCTTTGGGACAATTTTATTTCTGTGCATATTGACCAACAAGATAGTGATATATCGTAGTAAGGATGATGAAGAAGATGACGCATGCGCATTGGGTCTCTCATTTGTATACCATGTTTGAGGATCTACCTCAAATCTTATTGGCTATTTTGGTTGCCTTGACGACTAAAGAACTGATATCGCCCATTCAGATCGCAAAAGCTGGCTACGCAATCGCAGAACCGGTGATTCAGATAATGTTTACTTCATATCAGATTCATAAACTTAGGAAAGACATATATGATGACAATACTGGAAAAAAATGTTGTAAAGTGATGGAAATCATTATCAGTATTGTTCTCGTAATTTCTTCATGTTTCCTACTGATTCATTTAGTATACCCATTAATTGAGAAATTTACAATTTAAAATTGCAATCTGATTTGCTTATTAATGTATTTTAGAATAGAGAAGGGATGTTTATTTGTACATGTAAATGAGCATTAAAAATGCATGTAAAAAGAAATAAAAAATCTATTCATTACTGCATTAAGGACTTTAATGCTTGATTTTAATTATTACTTAATTTCCATGAATCCATGCAGATGTATATTTCAATATATTAAATGTAAGTATTTATTATACAGATTTTGTACAAACGCCATTGGATATGTTGATGTAAAAATAGTCGTTAAATCAAATAAACCAGTGAAAATAAATTGTTCCATAACACTCTCAGAATAAAAAATAAATCTTGATTCTAGTTTTATGTTATTTTATGCAAGAAAATTAAAGAATATTTGGTACATGTATTGTTCACAAATTCATTCAGGCTACTGGTCTTTTCAAAGAACAATTATTTGTATTTTTACTAACACTTTTTGATCTTTATTATGGTTATTGTCTTCACTATAATCACCAGAATATTGATTGATATTTTTGAAAATAATAGCTATTGTTTTTGTTCTTCTATTCATATTGTATACATGTTATTGTGAATCTTTGTAGATATTGTTAGGCTATTGAAATCTTATGTTGTAGAGGAATATCTAAGTTTCTTGAATTTGTGTCCAATCCCTTTGACATGTTGTCAATAAAATTTGTTTAAAACAAAACATGTTATTTGTTTGCATGATTCAAGGTATTATTTTAACAAGCTATTTCAAAAATATATTGACAAACCGGAGAACTACAGTGTCACCCATTGAAAAAACTGTATATTTATTGCGCACAAAAAGCGTTTTTATGACGGATCCGACAGCATGGAGGGAAATCTTTTTGATAATTTCTGTAATTTAAAAGTATTGTGACATAACTGAAATGGTATTGGGTGGTTTGATAATACGTTCCGATTACGGGTTCGACCCGCGTGGTTTCGTACTGCGTATGTATAAGCAACCTTGTATACATGCCCACAGGTGAACCAACGTGTTTAAAAACGCACAGCCTGTGCCACAGGTACATATAATAAAATGTAGTTTTTTTCTATATTTCGTAAAGATTTTTGTTAAACTGAATGTGTATTAAAATATTTTAGATGGCTTTTTTCATACAGAAAAGCATATTTGAATGTTCTGGAAAGAGAAGTTCAAAGAACCCACAAACGCAAAGACAAGCTGCACTGTAAACAATAACTAGATAACAAAAACATTAATAACAAAATTACAGCCTTCTTTGAAGATCAATAACCTTCACTGGTAAAAAAATATTTATAATTGATTCAAAATTACAGTAATTAATTGTATACATGTGTAAATAAAGATGATACAATTTATTGTTCTGACTGCAAATTGCATATGTAATGTAAATATATATATATTTTTACCCCATGTATGATTTCTGTGCTTTAATATGTATGTTGCATTTTCATGCAGTTATATATGAAAATAAAACACATTATTTGTTAATATTTTTCAAACAGTAGTATCTTACTTGGTATTGTACAATCTTTCATTTATACCATCACGATGGATATGATTAATATTATTTCATATTACAATATACTTTGATATAATTTATATGTAATCATACTAAAATAATTGTATATGCCCCCTGTAAAGGACCCTTGATTGGTGAATAAAAGTATTTTTATTTTTATATAATATGTAACAGTTTATATTGGATAATTTAGAATTATTTTATTGAATCTCTTCTGCATGGGAAAACTTTCATTTTTACAAAAATCACATATTCTATTTCTTAATCATTAACCGATTATCCTAATTATTATATAAAAATAAAAATACTTTTATTCACCAATCAAGGGTCCTTTATAGGGGGCATATACAATTATTTTAGTATGATTACATATATCTTTTTAATTCAGAACGAAACCACTTTGATTGTACCCACAAGGGTTAAACACCTATTTGCAACTTAACCACTCATATGCACCGAAATGAATAGAAAATGAGAATATTAAAATGACATGAAACTCAGTAAAATTTAGTTGTCTGATATTTTTCAAACATGTTGGTGTTAAATATAATACGAAATAATATTCTCATGATTTTCTATTTACATTCCAGTGGTCATGAATACCAAAAAAAAAAAAACAAACAAAAAACAAACAAACAAACAAAATCAAAAAAAAAATCCCTACCTACCTACCCTAATTTTGTCAAAAGTGTTACCCTAAACACACATTTTTTTAGGCCTTACACGTATTTTTGCTTACACTATGTAATTTTGAGCCCCGCCAAGAATATGGCCTGGGCATATACATGATATAATGTTTGTCATGTCCGTCTTCCGTCCTTCCGCCACACGTCGTGTTTAGCTCTGTTCAAAGCTTAGTTTCAAAGAAACTATCCAAGATATTTTTTATCGAACTTCATATGCTGATAGATATTGATGAGAGCTATGCAATTGCATTAACAATTTTTACCTTGACCTTCACCACTCTTCTTTTATATAAGTGTTTAGCTCAGTTAAAAAACATCCAAAATATTTTTATAAAATTTTTTATGCTGATACGTACTGATGAGAGTTATTCAAATGCAGTGACACCTGCATTTTTTTTACCTTGACCTTTCTTTTGATTTTACTTTTCCTAAATCAGCGTCAAACTCATATGCCGATACATACTGATATGATATCAATTCAATTGCATCAACGTTTTCTGACCTTGACCTTTCATTTGACCTTGACCTCACTTTTATCAAATTGTATTAAACTCATTTTCAAAAAAAAAATAATTTTTTTCAACTTCATATTCTGATACATACTGGTGAGAGCCTTTCAACTGCATCAACATTTTTGACCTTGGCATTTCCTTTGACCTTGAACTCACTTGTAAAGAAATTGGTATCAAAATTCATAAGTTGATGTACATGTACTGATATAAGCAATTTAACTGCATCACATCAAGATATTCTGATCAAAATTCCATACACTTATACAAATTTTCATGTTGCATGACTAATATACCTTCGGCGGGGCATTCATGTCCCATGGACATATTTCTAGTTTAAAGCACTGGTTGAATGCAGCATTTACTTTCGATTCTTTTTCAGAGAAGTGTCAGAAACTAGAAGGATTTGTACATTTGCCAAGAGATTCTGCAATTCGATATAAAAATAGGTCGCAGCTCTATTAACAGAACAAAAACCAGTCTGAATTTCCAGGACTATTTTTAAGTTCTTTGTCAGACTTGAATTTTCGAAAAAGCAAGGTATACTTTAACACTAGTCGGCGATTCAAAAAAGGTAAGTGGATGCTTTGAGAATTTTTGAAATGAATTTCGAATTTCGTTTCCCACATCGTGTAGGATAAATGAGATGAATGTGAACTAAACCCATAAGGTTAAATTGTATTAGGAAATCTTAGTGTAGTTTTACAAATTATAACTGAAGCCAACAGCATAGGGTATCTTACATTTACAAATAAATATCGAACAACACAACATATGAACACTTAACATAATGAACTAAAAAGATTTATAACAGCTGTTGTTGAAGAGAGCGATGTTTATAAGATGCCTCTATTATTGTAGAATTTTACACCCAAGAAGATGTGTGAGACGAAAGTTGGAATATTTTTACTCTCCATGTTTTCGGAAATTATGGACCTCGTTCTCGATTGGGATTGACAAAACATCTACTGTTGGGAATGATGTAAAAAACGCAATTCAAGGTTTTGCTATTTTGGGAACTATTTTATTTGTGTGTACATTTATAAGCCAGTCTTGTGATGCATGCAGCGATGATGAAGAAGAAAACCTTTGTACACCGACGCTTTCATTAATTTCGACTGCACTTGAAGATTTGCCGCAAATAATTTTAGCAATTGTAGTTGCTACGAACACTTCTGAACTTATTTCTTGGATTCAAATTTTAAAGGCGCTGTATGGAATTGTTGAGCCTGCAATACGGATATTTATGATATCAGAGGAATTGAAAAAAAGCAGAAAGAACTACAGAGAGTCCCCATGTCTGTATGCGAAACACTGTGATCTGTTTATAAGTGTAATAATTCTGTTGTGCTCCATTGGACTGCTAATTGAGCTTGCATTTGACTTTTTCCATTAATAATATAAAGTTTTCTGTACTGCAGTATTTGATAAATCTATTTTAAGAGGTTTTGTTGTTGAATTTTCAAAGATCACATTTGTATGACCTTATCTATATGTTCTACGTTCCCTTTCTTCGAGAAACAAGATAATTACTGCATGATCGAGTGGAAGATTTAGCGAGTCGCAAAGAAGTCGGTTCACTTTATGCATAAAATGGCCCTGTAGATACAGTCCCTGAAACGTTCTACTTTCCCACCTGAACGGTGAACGAACGGAGAACGAACGCTGAACGAACGGTGAACGAACGCAGAGCGAACTGTGAGTGAACGATGTGCAAACGGTGAACGCAACTTGGTGAACGATGTGTGACCGGTGAACAGTGAGTGAACGCGGACGGAGCGCGAACGCGAGCGCAAAGTGAACGGTGAACGAACAGTGAACGCAAGATGAACGATTTATTCGGAATGCCTTCGGTCTTTTCCTTGTATTGAAATTATTCTTTTATTCTATAATTCAAATGTCAAAAATAAATATAAATACACGATAGATAAACAAAAGAGAAATAAATAAATAAGTAAATAAATAAACAATAAAAATAAATTCTACACATACGTATGTTTAAATCCATATTTTAATAAGATGATTTGAATCGCTGTCAAGCGTGTATTTGTTACCGCGTGTAGTTTAAAAATAAATTAATCTTATATAGTTAATAATTATGCTTATTCTTTTAACTAATAAAATAATGTGGACTTTAGAAGATAAAACTACTACTGAGATAAACAATAAATAAACAAATAAATAAATAAATAAATAAATAAATAAATAAATAAATAAATAAATAAATAAATAGATAAAAACATTTTTTTCTGCACATACCTATGTTTAAATCGATATTTTAATAACATGATTTTAATCGCCGCCAAACGTGTATTTGTTACCGCGTGTACTTAAATAATAAATTAATCTACTTATATAGTAAATAATTATGCTTATTCTTTTCACTAATAAGATAACGTGGACTTCTGAAGATAAAACTACTACATATAGAATGAATTAATTACATTGTACGGGGTTGAAACAACCGTACATGTATTTCCGTGCCAAAGCCATTCTGAGTAAAATAACGGATTTTTTTTTAAATTCACAATTATCTGTTGACATTGACTGTTATCGTACTGCATAAAAATTCTCGTTTTATTTAAATTCTACTGCAAAATATTCTATATGTGCCTTTTTATTCTTTTATTACGATTATTTAAGCTAACTTCTTCATGTATCTGTAGACATTTCCCGGCCGTGATTATACATGTACTCGGTCAAGATGTTGGAAAGAGGCATTCAAATTATTTGTAATACATGTGTAGATTAAATTTTCAAAACTAAATAAGTAATGTGTTGTCATAATTTTTTATTGAACAGAGAAATGTACGAGAGAGAGAGAGAGAGAGAGAGAGAGAGAGAGAGAGAGAGAGAGAGAGAGAGAGAGAGAGAGATAACCCCCTCGATTCTCAGATATATGTTGTATCAAATAAAATTTTTAATTATTTTTCCTAAATATTCCAAGCAATAAAGGTAATCTTTTTTTTTATAGATTAACAA